ATGTGGAACTCTTATGTTTGGTTCATTTTTGCTGCTTGCCTGATGCCTTGCCATGTACCCTGGGTCTTGTATTGCCTTACTGCCACACAGTTAAAAATTGTCTGGTTCTAGATATAAATATTGCTGTACTGGATTCCCCCAGCTCACACACTTGTAATGGCTCTGTTGCTGTGTGCAGTACACCTACTGATACAGTCAAACCCTGTTACCCTCTGCTCTTAGAGTTTTACGCATACTCTCAATCTTTCTTCTCTCAGGTGTAGCCAGTTCTTCTGTTCTTTCAACTGAGGTTGTCGTTGCAGTCGTGCGATACTTTATGGCCCAAATCACCCAGTTGTTTGCTGACCGCAAACATGCACAAGCGCCCTACCATACCTTTCTCTGCAGATTCTGTAGCTTATCTCCTCACAGCCTTAGTGGTTTCTGAGCCATCAGCCACTAAAGTTGGCCATACACTATGCAATCTGATTGTACAATCTCTGTACAATTACCTTTAGACTTACCAAACCTATGTAATACGGGACCCCACATGACCAATTCATTCAGTGTGTATCAAATCAGACAGGCCCTGGCACTGCATAGTTGAAAGTAGATCTACTGAAAAAGTGTGTGAACCCCTTGGCAATACGTGGAGTTTTGCATGAATTGGGCATAAAATGTGCTCTGAACGTCATCTAAGTCACAACAATAGAAGAACACAGTCTGCTGAACATAATACTACACAAACATTAGATGTTGCCATGGTTTAATTGCACATAACATGTAAACATTCACAGTGCAGGGAGGAAAAAGTATGTAAGGCCCTAGCTTAATGACTTCTCCCAGAGCTAATTGGAGCCAGGAGTGAGCCAACCTTGACTCCAATCAGTGTGATGATACTGGATGTGTTGCTGACAGCTGTCCTGCCTCTTAAAAAAAACACACCTGTTTTGGGTTTACTGGTTTCAAGAAGCACTGTCTGATGTGAACCATGCCTCGCAGAAAAGAGCTCTCAGAAGACCTACGATCAAGAATTGTTGACTTGCATGAAGCTGGAAAGGGTTACAAATGTATCTCCAAAAGCCTTGATGTTCATGTGTCCATGGTAAGACAGACTGTCTACAAATGGAGAAAGTTTAGCACTGTTGCTACTCTCCCTAGGCGTGGTCGTCCTGTAAAAATGACTGCAAGAGCACAGCGTAGAATGCTGCATGAGGTAAAGAAGAATCCCAGAGTGTCAGCTAAAGACCTACAGAAATCTCTGGCACATGCTAACATTTTTGTTGACACATCTACAATAAGGAAAACATTAAACAAGAATGGAGTACATGGGAGGACACCACGGAGGAAGCCATTGCTGTCCAAAAAGAATATTGCAGCACGTTTGAAGTTTGCAGAAGAGCACCTGGATGTTCCACAGCACTACTGGCAAAATATTCTGTGGACAGATGAAACCAAGATTGAGTTGTTTGGGAAGAACACACAACACTATGTGTGGAGAAAAAAAGGCACAGCACACCAACATCAAAACCTCATCCCCACTGTAAAACATGGCGGAGGGAGCATCATGGTTTGGGGCTGCTTTGCTGCCTCAGGGCCTGGACGGATTGCTGTCATTGATGGGAAAATGAATTCCAGAGTTTATCGAGACATTTTGCAGGAAAACGTACGACCATGTGTCCGCCAACTGAAGCTCCGCAGAGGATGGGTGATGCAACAGGACAATGACCCAAAGCATACAAGTAATTCAACAAAACAATGGCTGCAACAGCACAGAATACGCCTTCTGGAGTGGCCCAGTCAGAGTCCTGACCTCAACCCGATAGAAATGCTGTGGCATGACCTTAAGAGAGCGATTCACACCAGACATCCCAAGAATATTGCTACACTGAAACAGTTTTTTGTGAAGAGGAGTGGTCCAAAATGACTCCAGATTGTTGTGCAGGTCTGATCTGCAACTACAGGAAACGTTTGGTTGAGGTTATTGCTGCCAAAGGAGGGTCAACCAGTTATTAAGTTCAAAGGTTCACATACTTTTTCCTCCCTGCACTGTGAATGTTTACATGTTTTATGTGCAATTAAACCATGGCAACATCTAATGTTTGTGTAGTATTATGTTCAGCAGACTAAGTTCTTCTATTCTTGTGACTTAGATGACGTTCAGAGCACATTTTATGCCCAATTCATGCAAAACTCCATGTAATCCCAAGGGGTTCACATACTTTTTCTTGCAACTGTAAAAGAAAATGTACAATCAGATTGTATAGTGTATGGCCAGCTTTAGACTTTGATTCAGAGTTGCTCCAGACTAGCTTGCTTCTAAGGAGTTGCCATCTCCTGTATCCCAACAATCACTCAACTGTAGGAGGTACAAGATGGAGCCCAACAAGAAAAATAAACTGGAGCCTTTCCCCTGCAGTGTCCCCTAGTGGCAGAAATGCAATTTTATCATTTTAGATAACTGTATTGAGAAGTACAATGTTGCTTCAATTGTATTCCACAATTTCCTTGTCTTTAGCTGAGAGAACTTTCAATAATTAAAGGCGTTACATAAAGTCTCAGAAAACTTTCATTATGGTCTTTGGGCTGGGGGATAGGTGTACTTTCAAATTTTTTCTTTTATTTATTTTTACACCATCTGTAATGGCAATGCTGGGTGCAATAACTAAAAGCAAGTCATATACACACAATAGACAGGTAGTCGCACACAGGTACTTTTAACCAGCATTTGCAGCATTACATATTCTACGCCAGGGCTTGAAAAAGCCGCTCACCCACTCGCCAAATGCGAGGAGAAATTCTTCTGTGGCGAGTGGCTGCGAGCACAAATGAAGAAGCATGGAGCGACTGCACATGCTCTCCAAGCCTCATTGTGAAGCCGAGTTCCGGTTTACAACTTCTGGTTTCCATGGCATCGCCATTACAGTGCGAGCGCCGCTGCGGGGACACGTGCAGGAGAAGTCCGCTCTCCTATGCTGAGAGGAGACACCCTCTCCACCGCCGCGGGTGTCTTGAGGGCCACTCTCAACCACCTTGGGGGACACGAGGCCCGCTCTACACCTCCTTGGGGGACACGAGGCCCGCTCTCCACCGCCTTGGGGGACACGAGGCCCGCTCTCCACCGCCTTGGGGGACACGAGGCCCGCTCTCCCCACCGTCTTGGGGGACACGAGGCCCGCTCTCCACCGCCTTGGGGGACACGAGGCCCGCTCTCCACCGCCTTGGGGGACACGAGGCCCGCTCTCCACCGCCTTGGGGGACACGAGGCCCGCTCTCCACCGCCTTGGGGGACACGAGGCCCGCTCTCCACCGCCACGGGGGACACGAGGCCCTCTCTCCACCGCCACGGGGGACACGAGGCCCGCTCTCCACCGCCACGGGGGACACGAGGCCCGCTCTCCACCGCCATGGGGGACACGAGGCCCGCTCTCCACCGCCACGGGGGAATCGGAGGGACTAGGAGTAAGTACTGTATACAACATGTCATATCACTATAATGGAGTACAAAGGAGCTGGGATATACATTACTCCATTGTAGTGATCTTAAACCCATTGATTAGCAGTGCTTAAAGCTTAGATGCCAGGACCTAATTTCCCTTGGTTTCTCCTCCCTTTTTATACGCTTAAAATGGTTCCGAAGACACCACTTTGTGAATTTCACAAGTGAGTCGGTTATTATTGTATTGAACTAGTCTGGGGTTAGAGCACCTGGGGGGAGCACCTGTGGAGAGGTCTCAAAACAGCAGTTGGGAAAAGGAACCCTTCCAATCTGAGAGACCTGGAGCAGTTGCATAAGTGTGGTCCAAAATTGCAGTAGAGAGGTGTAACTCATTGATGGTTACAGGAAGCGATTGATTTCAGTTATTTTTTTCCAAGGGGTTTGCTACCAAATATTAAATTGAGGGTACCAATAATTTTTTCCATTCCATTTTTGGACTTTTGTGTGGAATGTCAGATTTGGCTTTTTGTTTCTCCAATTTTTAAGGGGGCGTGGTTGGGGGCAGGCCGGGGGTGGGGTTGGGGGCAGACCTGGGCAAGGTTGGGTGGGGCAACTAGTGGAGAGTAAGTTATGTGACTGGCTAGTAGGTCTGGACTCTAAATTTTAACCCCTGTTCTACGCATGTGAAAGACCCTTTACCAAATGAACACCTGCCCTGGCACATCATAGCATTCACCCGGCACTACAAGAAATAACAGAATCCAACTGCAATATTCTTGCACTGTTGCTTCAGATCAACTTCTTATCTACCCTAAACTTTTTCTCATCTACCCTAAACTTAAAGATTTCTAACTTCTCAAGCAAGTAGACATCTTTAAACAGGTTCTTATCTTCTAATGTGACATTACTAGATGTCATAAACACACGTTAAATCCCACAAACAAGTTCTTATCTTGCTATAAGCAGTCTAATATCATGTGACTCTGTTCCTTTAGCTTAGAGAAATGACATCAGTCATTTCTCATGCTCCTGGCATTTGGGCAACAATGATTTAGTGTATAAATTACTCAAGAGACAAAGGGTCCAAGGCCAACACATTTCATAGGCATTACACCATCTCTTTCATGTCACAGCTCCCCAGCAATCTGTAGATATCCGCTATAAAACCTTTACTCTCAAAAGTCTGATTTGCAGTCTGCCTGGGTACAATGACTTTTTTCCACTGATCGTAATAAGTTCACCACAGGCAATAGGGTTTTAGTCTGTCAGCCTAAAGAAAAAAAATATTCCAGCCAATAGGGAAAAGAGGAATGAAGGAAAGTAAAGGATCTAAAGCAAATTTTTTTTTTTTTTTTTTTTTTTTTTTAGTTTTCCATTTGCTATTAAAATTTGTACCTACTGCACACGATTGTTGTAAGCTGCAATAATGCAAAAAGCTCTTCAGTGCACAGTAAACTAATGCAAATAGCACTTTTTCTTATTTTCTTATTTTTGTTGCTGATATGTTAAATGTGCATCTTCTACATACAGCCATGAAACACTTCAGGTAACCATGTTGTCTCTTTAATTTTTCTGTTTATAGCAAGGAGCTAGTATCAGCTGAGCAGAATAAAAGCCACATGAGCAATGAGCTGCGGAAAAAGGAAGAACAATGTGGATCTTATGAAGAAAAACTCTTTAATGTTTGCGGTAGCCAAGACTTTGACAGTGATATGACACGCCTGCTGGATGACATAGAAAAGACATCTAAACAGCGAGGTCAGACCCATCTTGATCATATAAATATTACTGCTAAATTTGTAGTGATCTTTAACCCATTGATTAGCAGTGGTTAAAGCTTAGATGCCAGGACCTAATTTTCCCTTGGTTTCTCCTCCCTTTTTATATGCTTAATATGGTTCCGAAGACACCACTTTGTGAATTTCACAAGTGAGTTGGTTATTATTGTATTGAACTAGTCTGGGGTTATCCCTTTTTGAAACCCTGTTGTTTATCACTTGACAATTATTTATGGTTTAGGGCATCCCGGTTTTTTACCTTTTGTTACTTATTATAGCAGGACAATAACCCAAAGCACCCAGAAATGGTTTAAGATAGAGCACTGGAGAGTGCTGAACTGGCCAAGAATAAGTCCAGATCTCAATCCCATAGAGCACCTGTGGAGAGATCTCAAAACAGCAGTTGGGAAAAGGAACCCTTCCAATCTTAGAGACCTGGAGCAGTTGCATAAGTGTGGTCCAAAATTGCAGTAGAGAGGTGTAACTCATTGATGGTTACAGGAAGCGATTGATTTCAGTTATTTTTTTCCAAGGGGTTTGCTACCAAATATTAAATTGATGGTACCAATAATTTTTTCCATTCCATTTTTGGACTTTTGTGTGGAATGTCAGATTTGGCTTTTTGTTTCTCCAATTTTTTGTGTCATATTAGTACAATTTTCTGGGCAAGTGGTGCATTGTCTGTCAGAAATACAGGAGTGCCATTATTTTTTTTTGCGCACTTTTCCATGGTTGTTGTGTTTTCCTCTTCGGATGCTTGTTTTAGCCACGCAAGGTCTTACAGGTTGTTGTTTAGGCTTTCTTGTTTGCCTCTTTTGAGGTTGTTTGGGTAGCTGGCATGTTTGCCTGGTTGCTAATGTTGCCTTTTAGTTTGCCCACCCATTGTGAGGCACTGCTTTGGGACATCCCTGTTTGGTCATGGATAATTAAGAAAGGCTGTGTCCATCATTGAATGTAAGAGAAAACTGGATTTTTTTGTTACCGTAAAATCCCTTTCTCCGAGTTCATTGACAGACACAGCACCCATCCCTCTTGGGAGTTCCTTCCTTGACACTGCTTGTGACTGACTGGAGCTGTATAGCAGAAAGGGGGTTTTATGCCCTGAGAGGACTGCCCATAGGAAGTGCCAAGTTTTTTTTCTGCCTAGTGTCCTACACCTGTAAGTGGGGCTATAAAACTGTTTGGTCATGGATAATGAAGAAAGGCTGTGTCCGTCAATGAACTTAAAAAAAAAAAAAACAAGCCCCCCCCCCCCCCACTCCAAAAAAAAGGTTATCTTAATTGCACAATACAGGACACAGGCAAATTATTCATAGATCCTTGGTTAAAGGGTTGTATCGTCAGGTGATTGGACACTGGCAAAGCTCTTGAGGACACACCTGCTGAGCTTCTCCCCTATAACTTTACCCCACTCCAAGGATCCTCAATTTTGGCTCGTGTCCTAAGGTGATAGACTTATTCTCTTTCATGGAAATTAACTTTTAGCTGAACTATTTTTTTTATTATTATTATTCATTATTTTACTCCTCACTGTCTACTAATGCCACAGATAGAAACAGTGTATCCAGATTGGCACAGCCTTGGTAGATCTTGGAGCCTAATGTAATGTTGTCCCAGGCACTGGATCCTGCATGGATGCTTATTTTGCCACTTAGTGCAACGTGTGTAGTCTGCCTCGGTGCTATACAGGTCCACGGCTGTGGTCCATCCCTATGGAACCCAGTCCCAGATGGGGGTATGCCCACTGAGATGGGCGAAGTGTGGACTTCAAATACAGTCTTGCTTCATGGATAGGTAAGACAGGGTCACTCAGTATGCTCTGACAATTACTGTAAAAGACCTAGATGATATTTCAGTTGTATTGCCTACAGTGTAAACTTTTCAGGTTTCACACTAATCTCAACCACTCAGTGCCTAGTCTCAGATGGATGATCTGATGTCACATCACATCACAGCCCTTTGTATGGTACGCAGCGCATCCACCTACTCTTTCGCCACTAGTTTGCTACAGTACAGTTTGCACCCGGGTTACTACTTTCTCCTGGACACGCCTACCCTATATTCCTCATCCTACTCAGTGAGTACCCCACAGGACAATATCCTCACACATAGCTATGGTGGAAATCAAGCAAAAGAGAACCATTACAAAACCAAATTTTGCTTTGCTGAAGGCCCGCACAACACTCAGAATGTCAATGTGCCCCTTGCAGCGGAGCAAGAGCCAACTCACTGGTCTCTGCATCCAATTTTAGCTCTAATTCAGACACACAAGTGGCCTTCCTGACAAAATCAGAATTTTCTCCATCTAGGTCATAATTCCTCTGACCAAGATTTGGTTTAATACAACCATCTTTGTTGAGGCTCAAAAATGCCATGCCTCTTCTCTTGCTCCCATGTCTCTACCTGAGTTGGACCCTGATATGCCTGCCCTAGACGAGGCAGACAGAGTGGAATAAAAGAGGTCACTGAAGCAGTATTGGAGTAAGCTGTGGAAGCTTTTTCTTCCCCATGATCCAGTTTCCCAGTATCATGCTGTACCCATGCTTTAGTTCAGCCCTTCCTTTCAGTGCAAGCCTTGGGCCATGATGCCCAATACATCTTCTTCCCAATGAAGAGGGCTTTGGGGAAGACTCAAAGAGTGAGAGAATGTCTACCACAGTTTGCCTCTCTATAAGTCACAGGTGTTACACATGTTACCCCATCACCACCTTCTCCTTTCAGATCAACCAAAGACATTTCAAGGACAGTCAGATTTGTAAAATTGCCTGAACCATCTTTTGTCCCAGGGAGTTAGTGTTCCATTACCCCTACAGGACAGGTTCAAAGGATTCTATCCAAACCTATTCATGGTACCAAATCCCAGTGGGGAAATTACCAGACCTTAAAATCCCTCAACAAATACCCCTGAATTCACAAATTTTGCATTAAATCTACAAAGTTAGTAACAGTCTCTTTGAGACAAGGAGAATACACATCCATACGTATCCATAGACATCCAAAATACCTATTTACATATTCCCATTTATACACCTCATCAGCACTTTGAGTTTTTTAGTGCCAGACAATCACTTCCAGTTTGATGCACTGTCTTTTGACCCATCCAGTACTACCAGAGTATGCACATAGGTCCTAGCATGTTTTCTTGGCCTTTTCAGATCTCATATTAACGAGTCTTGAAGAACTCTGTCCCTACAATTGTCAGAAAATGTCCACAGGACAATTAAGATGTTCCAGGCTTTCAGTTGGGAGGTCAAGTATAAAAAAAAATCTGTTCTCCAGCCTTCTCTTCACCCGTAATGCTCGGGTCTAGTCCTGGATGTATCTCAAGCACAGGTTTTAGAAAAAAACATTCTTTCTCATGGAGGAAAAAACACTCAAGAAGTGAGGTTACAGAGACATCCCAGAATGAGATTCTTCATGAGAGTTTTAGGCCTCATGGTAGCCTCCTATGTACCATTTTCCCAATTTAATTCAAGACACATCGTCTTGTTGACCTGGAACAAAGTATGCCCCTAGTCTCAACCTACACATGCTCCTGTCCAGCAAAGCAAGAATTTCTCTAGCTTAGTTAATCTCCAGCCCAGCCTTAACAATAGGGAAGTGTTTCCTTCCCTATCATTGGAAAGTAATAACAACAGATACCAGTCTTTCAGGATAGAGAGGAGTGTTCCAGACTGTCCGGGACAAGATAAGAGCTTAACATGTGGAAGCCAGGCTTTTTTTCAGCATGCTGGAGGTCAGAGCAGTTCAGGTAGCTCTGCAATACTGGAACCCCCCTTCTGCAAGGACACGCTTTCAGGGTGCAGTCAGACAATGGAATGGCTCTGAAGCCTTGAAGGAAGCAATCAGATAATGTCATGGACAAAACTCCTGCCCAGCAATCTCTGTGGTCCACATCCAAAGAGTGGACAACTGGAAAGCAGACTACATCAGCCATCACTACCTGTTCAAGGGGAATGTTCCCTTCACCCAGACATCTTCATTCTGATATGCCAGAAAAGTGGGACTCCATGTATAGACCTATTCTCAACTAAAATCTGTTTTTTTTTGCAGCCAGAACAGAGGATCCTTTGGCACTGGCTTTGCATACTTTAATAATTCCGTGGTACTGTTCAGGCTAATCTGTGGATTTCCTCCAGTGTGTCTGTTTAAAAAGATAGAGCAAGAGAGAAAAACAGTCATTCTCATTACATCAAACTGGCCAAGAAGAACCTGGTATACAGACATACTCAGACTATAAGCAGATGACCCCAGGCCTCTTCCAACAGGCCAAATTTGCTGTCTCAGGGCCCTATATTCTATCCTGTTTTTCAGTATCTGGTTTTAATGGCATAGTTGTTGAAGCTCAGGTCTTAATCAGATCAGACAGACAGATTTTATTTTTGTCCTGTGCCTAGGACTTTTCAAGGGGAACCCTGCTTCCATGCTGTCAAAAAATACCACAGGCATCCAGCAAGGATGGCCAGATCAGTGGGCTGTACCTTGGGTAATCAGGAAGCAGGCTGAGTAAGGTTAGATAAAGTTTATTAACATGAATATCTATCTTACAATACCAACAGCAACACCAATAAACCATAAACAATGTAAACTAACACAATAAACATGAGCGTGCAGCAAACCAAATGATAACCTAACTAACTATATACAAATGGAGGGAGCACAGTCAAGCAGGGCAAGGTCAGGACTAAGACAGGAAATCAAAGGAGCAGGGAGCAAGGTACTGGGAGATCTGGATGCAGGGTACAAGGAGCAGGTCCAAGGATAGAAACAAGGATCAGGAACAAAGATCAGGCTCAGACAGGGACATGACTTGCAGGAGGAATACAGAAGCACTGAATCTCCATTATGGGTGGGATTATATACCTTCCAGTAGCTTACATCAGGTGCGGCCTAATTACTTGGACAGCCCAGCTTCTGGGAGACAACCGCTGGTGACCACCGAAACTGTGCCGTTTGACTCTGGGAACCACAGTACCACCAGCAGGTGACCCAGAAGATGACACATGTCCACCATCGCAAGATGGCTAAGAAACCTGATTGCTAGAGCTTACACTCTCAAGGATCATTCTCCTTCTGTGCTTTTATGCACACATTCCACCAAATCGGTGGGTGTTTTCTGAACATTTCAGCTCTGGCCCTCTGTATCCCAGCTTTTCAAGGTGGCCACCTGGTCCTCTGTTCATTCTTTTTCAAAGTTCTACCTGTTGGATGTCCAATCTTCTGTGAATGCAGCTTTCGACCGCTATGTTCTTATGTCGACACTTTGAAGTTGGGTCTTTTTGACCCTTGATATTGTTGGGCCTGTTGGCACAGTTCTCTTTGCCTAGTTGTTGCCCACCCTTCTTATCATTGCTTGGCGATGTCTTGGGGCCTATGAATACTTTGTGTCCTGTACTGTATGATTAAGATGAGTGGAATTTTAATTTACCTGTAAGTTCCATATCTTGGAGTATGGTACAGGACGCAGGCCTCCCTCCCTTTCATTGCTACAAAACTGAACACTCAGAGTGAGGTAGGTTTATTGGGGAGACGCCAAAGGGGCGTGTCCTCAAATGCTTGCCACTGTTGAACATATAGCCCAGGGTCTATGAATACTTTGCCTGTGTCCTGCTCTGTACTCTTCTAGCTCTGCAGTGCATGTGATATCAGATCCCTGCACCCCCCTCCCCCCTTCTACTGCTGAGTAATAGCCCTTGATCTCTGTGTTTTATGAGGATGTAGAGAAGAGAGGGCTGCAGAAAAAAGTTACAACCTTTATAGGAGGATTTGTTTTATCCCTGTGTATCACCTGAGGCTAGTCATTTCAGTGGGTATATGTAAAAATGTGTACGCATTAAAACTGTGCCCTATTAACAGAATGAAAGTAAGTTAGGTATCATGTCATAGGGCAGATGACATCTCTACCCCTATCTGTGTTCGCATTGATATACAGTACACTCCTTTCTAGAGGTCAACAACTAAAACGCATTTCAAATCTGTCTTGCACTTATTGTTGTACACATACATAGGCACTTACTTCCTCATACCTTTTATCCTTTTACTTAAACTATTTTCAGATATAGTCACTGCTCTTAGTTCATACCTAAGCTGATGCAGCAGTTACTGAAGCTTATGGAGAGTATCACTTTCAGGGCCAGTTCACATTACATGCGTTTTCATTTGCTTTTTTTCTGCATCCAAAACGCACAGAAAGTAGGTTACATGGTTGTCAATGTCATAGTTAACATCAGTGCTTTCAGTTCCAGTGCGTTACATTTGCAGAAAAAAGTAGAACATGCTGCATTTTTTCTGCACAAAACTGTACTGGAACCCGGTAAAACGCACCGGAGTGCACCAAAAAGCATTGGAACGCACATGTCCCTATTTAAATTGAAAAAAAAAAACAGGGAAAAATTAACTGGAATGTATAAAAAATGCATAAAAAATAATGCAAAAACGCATCCGGAAAGCATCTGGACTGCGTTTCTATACTGTGATCCGGCCCTCAGTGTACACAAGCTCACAGAGGGTTCAGCAATGACTGCATTTTGTACCACAGGTACCTCTTTTTTCTGTGATGCACTTGGAGTTGAGTATTCTGTAAGGAAAGCACCTTGTATATGACTGCCTAAGTAGAGAGGCTTTTAGTGGTAGTATAGGTAAAGGAAATATATATTTATTACTGTATGTTATGTTACAGCAATGCTGGCAGGTGCCACAGCTGTGTACACTCAGTTCATCACCCAGCTAACAGAAGAGAATCAGCCCTGCTGTCCAGTGTGTCAAAGGATCTTCCCCTCAGAAGCTGAGCTGCAAGATGTAATTAATGACATGCAGTCCAAACTGCGTCTGGTTCCAGATAAACTCAAGTCTACAGAAGGTGATTTAAAGAGAAGAGAGAAAAAAGGAGGGATGAGATGACAGAACTGAAGCCAATGAGGTATGTCTACTACTATGTTTAACCTGTCTTCATTAACACAGACATTTCTTAAATGTACTCTAATAATTATGGGATGACGTTATGCAGATATATTGAGTTATGTTGCTGCCTTAGATGGTTGTACACGTCACAGTTGTTTGCTAGTGTCCTAGGAGAATGGACAATTTTACTCTCCTCCTGAGAGAAACAAAACTGTTTTCTTTCATCAAACCTCTTTTACTTCTAGTAAATTTCTGCATTTGGTGCAGTCAGATGGGGCTCATTTTGCAACAACCAAAGGAGAAAGTGCACAACCGCCCTAGGGAAACAGAGTTTTATTTAGAACAACAATAACAAAGCCTTCAACCAATACACTCACGTTCCATAATAGTAAAGAAGAGTATGTCAGCAATCTGCAGGAACTCTTCTGGATGACCGCTGTAAGATCGACGGAAGGCACCTCCAAGAGGCTAACTGTCAGCATTAGGAAATAATAAAAATTTACATGCTGGCATTGATGATATACAGTACTGTGCAAACGTTTTAGGCAGGTGTGAAGAAATGCTGTAAAATATGCAAAACCTATATTTGAAAGCATTCTTATTTTTATCAATTTAAAAAATGCAAAGTGAGCGAACAGAAGAAAAATCTAAATCAAATCAATATTTGGTGTGACAACCCTTTGGCTTCAAACCACCATCAGTTTTTACTCTTTCTCACTTTGTATACTTGCACAAAATCATGGATTTTGTAGGATTAGAGTCAGGTGCATGATTAACCAATTACACCAAGCAGGTGCTAATGACTATCAAATTCATATGTAGGTTTAAACACAGTCATTAACTGAAACATAAACAGGAGACTTAAAACTATGTGAGCAATAGCCAGACTCTGCTACTAAGGTAAGGATGTGGAAGAGAGTTTCATGTCGCAGGCCATACACCATAGCAAAACTGAACGCAGTAACAAGACACAAGGTAGTTTCTGGAAGAAAACAAAAGAAACAATAGTGCAACCCCATAGCGTAGCATTAAAAAATAAATGTCGGTTTATTAAAAAAAAAGAAAAAGAAATGCACTCACATAAATACGCATGTGCAGGGCGTTGCATAAAGATGACCTGCGAGCCAGAAATGTTCGAGGAACAGCCTTGGCCACTGGCTGGGGATGAAAGCATGCTGAAGATGGAGGAAGCCGCTGTCACTGCAACTGGTTTGACCTTGGACTGGAATCCTAGACATCGTTGTAAACACATGCGCTGTAGACAAGAGATCTGTTTCTAAGCTGGGTGGCTTCTTCACCAGCCTGTCTATGCTGGGCTTTTCTACAAGGTGGGACCTTAAGGACTCCGGTACCACTCGTGGGGGTCGCACCTGAGTCCTTTTCCTGCTATTTCCCTTTTGATACTGCTACCACTCCAGTGGGAAAAGTCTTCATCATTTCCTATGATTTTCAAAGAGGAGGGATTTTTATTATGGCTAACAGGATAAAGCTATACCCCTTGAATCCTTTTTCAATATTAGCCAGATATTCTCCAATTCTCACCTGATGGTTCAGCCCACATATTGAAGATCACATGTGAGCTCTAGGAGATAAACAGTTGCTTTAATGGAGCAAGTGGTAAATTCTTTATTGTTATACATTTTATGGATAACACAAGACATAAAATTTCCAGTACGGGCACTATTAAACCAGCTGTTTTACAAACGCCACATATCTGAAAGGGAAAAATCTCCTAAGATTCTCAAAAAAGGCAGTCCAAATAAGTCGGTAAACTAAATTATACTCCATGGTATAATGCAACGGCTGACCCTTCTTAAAAATTGCTGGATGATTATTTGGTATGCGTGGTCCTAACATTTTATCATTGCAAAGGGCCTGGTATGGATTGGGGGAACCTTTTTTTTGGTTATGAAGTCCCCCTCAGAATCCATACCCAAAGGGCCTAATATTATGGAGACATACTTTTATAATTCACTGTACAAATCACCAGTGAGATGTCATCTGACTAATGCAGTTAGTTTTGTGCCCCAGTTCACAAAATAGATATCGAATAGAATAGAGAACTGGTGAAAGTGTAGAGAAGGACATCCAAACTTGATAAAAAGCATGGAGGAGCTCAGCTATGAGGAAAGATTAGGTGAACTGAAATGTATTATTTCTTGAGAATATGTGATTAAGAGGGATATGATCAACCATGTTCAACCCCAAGTCCAAAAAAGTTGCAACGCTGTGTAAGATCTACATAAAGAATGCAATGATTTGCAAACCTCCTAAACCCATATTATCTTTACAATAGAAGAGAGAACACATATTAAATGCTTAAAGTGGCTGTAAAGACTCAAGGTTTTTTACCTTCATGCATTTTATGTATGAAGGGAAAAAACTTTTTGTGTGTAGCAGCACCCCCAGCCCCCTCAATACTTAGCTGAGCCTCATAGCGATCCAGCAATGTGAACAAGAGCCTCGGCTGTCCTGGCTGTCTCTACATCCTCATTGGCTGAGACAGCAAGTGGGAGCCATTGGCTTCCGCTGCTGTTTAATCACAGCCAGTCAGCCAATGAGGAGAGAGAGGTGGTTGGGCCAAGCTACTGCTCCGTGTGTGAATGGACACACAGAGTAGCGGATGCCCCCATAGCAAGCTGCTTGCTGTGGGGGCACCTGACAAGAGGAAGGGGCCAGGAGAGCCTGCGGGGGACCTGGGAAGAGCAGGGTCCAGGCTGCTTTGTGTAAAACCGCTGCACACAGCAGGTAAGTATAACATGCTTGTTATTTAAAAGAAAAACCCTTTAGAATCACTTTAAACTGAGAAAATGTAACATTTTAAGAAAAAAAAAATGATGTAATTTTGCAGTTGATGGCAGTAACATGTCTCAAAAAAGTTGGGACAGGGCGATGTTTACCACGATGTAGCATCCCATCTTATAACAACACTATAAATGTCCGGGAACTGGGGAGACCAGTTGCTGGAGTTTTGGGAGAGGAATGTTTTCCCAATTTTTGCCTGATTCTAAGATTCTAACTGCTCAACAGTCCTGGGTCCTTTTTGTCATATTTTTAAATTCAAGGTGTGACAATTATTTTCAATTGGTGAAAGTTCTAGACTGCAGACAGGCCAGTTAAGCACCCGGATTCTTCTATTATGAAGCTATGCTGTTGCCATAGATGCAGCATGCAGTTTGGCATTCCCCTTTTGAAATATGCAAAGTCTTCCCTGAAAAAGACATCATCTGGATGGGAGCTATTTTACATGCAAAAAGAAAAAAACAAAACCTCGCTCACCTCCCCCAAACTTTAGAAAAGATCACAGCAGCCAGCCTGATGTCTGGGTATAACAAACATATACATAATAAAAGAAAAAGCAGCACTATATTATCTGCAAAATTATCTATAAATTATAAACAATAACATAAAAAGTTTAAATATCTTACATAATATTATATATATATATATATATATATATATATATATGACACACACGATAGATTCCACAGATAAATGTTAAATAAATAATAAAGTTCAGCTTGAGAGTGCAAGAATAGTGGTGCACCCACCTATAAAAACAAATAGAGCTCCACAGATGGAGAAATAATTCCACCTAATGAATAAAGGCTTCATAAAAGCTTACCAGAGCACCATGGCCCTCTACATGTGAGTGGTCATGGTAAGCATGTGTGTAATTCCCAAATGCACCGCTGCGCAACCATCCATCCAACTAGGTACATCGATAGTAAAGATATCGTATGGACTGCTCCCCAGGTGAATGTAACAGTAGTATGTCAGGTTTAAACTGTAAAGGTTACTCTACAACCATCAATGTAGAGCCAACAATGCTGGATGTAGCTGTATCCACAAAAAGACTTATTCTTGGATGCTGTAGGGATCTGTTTACATTACCACACTTCACTTCATCTATATAGAGCCATCATGTCGCTTTTGTAACACATTTCTGTCCAAGGCCTCATGCACACAGGGCTTAAAAAGCCACTTTTTACAGGCATGTTTTTTTTTTCAGCCTGTAAAAGCACCCTTATGTTACCCAATGTGTCCATGCATACTTAGGTATTTACAAGCTATTTGTAAAAATGTTTTTGTTCCTTACTTTAAATTGGCTTCAAAGAATGAGCAAGACAGCAGTAACCAAAAAAGTGTGTGGTCGTATACACAATATGTATACGTGTAAAAAACACTTAGCAGATTTAAACTAAATAACTAGGTATAATATAAGTAAAGGAAATAATTTAACTAATAGGAACACAACAATAATCTCTTTGGACAAGAGATCTCAATCCTGCACACAAGGTGGCGATAGCATTGCAGAACTGAGAGGAAAACCTGCTATTCATTAATTAATGAAGCAACCCTGATTAGTGCAGTTGTTTTGCATCTTACGATAGAAAAGAACTCTTATTCTGATTGATTGTAATTGTCTGCACTGTAAGTATAATATTCAGAAATTTAAATAACTAAAACCAACTATTTTTAAATATATGTGACAAACCTGTGATTAATAGCAACAAATCCAGTTGCAGCGATCTTAGGTTGTCAAGGCAGTATGTGGCTTGCAGTTCAATCTGCGTGACACTTTAGAGACCTGGATTATACCAATTACAGTTTTCAAACTAAGAGTGTTCCAAAGAAAAATTATTCTGAGAATATATTTGAGGGGAGACTGTCAAGTTAGTAATACACTATATGTTGACTGGTCAATGAAAGTGCAACCCTATTTGATTTAATCTTTGGTCAACTGCCCTTTATCGAGATGTGTCCCTTGCGCCGCTGTGTCCTCTTGCTGAAATCTTTCCTCTTGACACCCTCCTGTCTAACATACTTTGGTGGAAAAATTAAAATGCCAGATGGAAAATTGTCAACCAAATAGCACCTGCATCCAGTCAGATGCATACACTGTTGGGTATTTTGACAGCCAGCAACACCAGCTGTCACAATGCAAATCCCAAAGCAAAGCAGGTTTGTCAAGCTGCTCTGTTAATCTGTGTGTATTGCCATCTTAATACTTTGATATGCAAGTGCACTTCTAACAGTTGTAGAAAGTTATCTGTGAAGCCTTATCTTGGGTTCACACTGATGCGGTGCGGAATTCTCAGCGGTTTTTGTGTGAATTCCACACCGCACCACAATCGCACCCTGTTCATGCAAACCGCTGCAGGTGTATATGTTAACATCCTGAAATCAGTCCGCAATATCAGATGTGAATACCCATGCGATCCGATTCTAGTGCGGACCAAAAAAAGGGTTCTGCACCTTTTTGGTGCGATTTGAGCCATACAAAATGTATGGCTCAAATCGCACCACACAGAATTTGCATGTGATTTGCACAGGAATGCAATGCAGTTCCTGTGCGAATCACATGCAGTATGCCGCACCGCACACGTGTTAACCCAGGCTTAAGGCTACATTTACACTAAAGCGTTTTGTGAATGCAAGCAAAATTGTGTTGTGCATATGCATGTTTTTGTGCGTTGTCTCACCAAATAATAGGGCAGTCCATTCATTGAATTGAAATGAATGGCCTGCCCTATTTGTGAAAAAAGCAGCAAAGTAGTTCATGCACCTTTTCGAGCATCTAGCTTTACATGTCTTTAACAAAGTGTTTTTTTGTGTTTGTTGTTTTGTTTTTTTTAGGTGAAGAACATGCATCTCTTTTGCCACATTTTAAAATGGTATCACAGGTGCAATATGATTTTCTGTGTTTTAGTAATTCAGTTTCTGATTTTCAGATCTGGTCTCTTCTTCACCTGTCATGCCTCACTGTTAGTCTGTGGCTTGATTCAGTGTCACTGACCAGTAGTGAGGTGGGGAGGAGGTGAGAGAGGGCAGGTCCTGATCTTCAGGAACTGTATAGATGTCTGCATAACTGAGCACTGCAGCCTCACAAAGATACGCATAGGTATTTGTAGGCATATCAGTGTGCCCTCTAACAATATTACTGACAATTCATTAGGTTTAGTGTGGATACAGGTTTGCTTTAATGTTGGGATTTTTGCAGCCTAAAAAGATTTTAGAATACAATATATAAGGTGTTGTGTATTTGGAGTAAATAGATTTAAAAAATATGAAACCTTTTATTCGCTCTTTAGGCAAATGCTGATTGATCTTAAGGAAAAAGAAATCCCTGAATTAAGAAACCAGTTGGTGGCAATAAACCGGGAAATACAGCGTTTGAAGAATGATGTAGAAGAACAAGAAACTCTGATAGCAACTTTTATGTCTGAGGAAGACAGTGCAAAGGCCTGTCTACAGGACATATCCCTAATGGAGAGGTATCAGGTAAGGGGCAGAGCTTTGGCCTCTGTGTAATAAAGCACTGTCTAATGTTCGGCAACCTGTAACAGTCAATCAGCCGTCATTTTTCCTTGTTCTAAAAGGGAAACATTAATATTTTGGGTAACTATCCAGGGTTGTTGTATATACAGTAAGTAGTTTTAAATCAGATCATTAATGTTTTTGTGTATTTGGGTTATGCTGAATGTGTTAAGTTGGCCATAGACGGTTTGAATTTAAGCCGGTCCAGCAAGGACAGGCCGAGATTACAACTATGTATGGACTGGCTGAATGTACCCAAGTTGATTGGGGGCAACTTGGATACGACTAGCCTGTCGGGTTTTACATGTAATTATTACGGCTATTATAGGTATCGGAAGTCTGTCTTTTTTTTGGGGGGGGGGGGGGGGGCACAAAGTGTACTTCTCTCTTTGCTCTGTGTGCTTGGGTGGTTCTGGTCCAACTGCCTCTTCCTCTGACGCTATAGAAAAGAAAGTTGAGGAGTTTGTGACCTCTGCAGTCAGGGAAATCAGGGGGGGGCTTCTTGGCTTGCCAAGGATTGGCTGTCTGGTATCAATTCTGGAGCATCAGGCCTGAGGGTTCCAGCATCTGTCTCTTTAGCAGGTGGAGATGTGGCAGTCTGATTGTGTAGACTGCCACAACCAGTCTGCCCATTTTTTGTCCTCACTGTCCTCTTCGTCCTGTGTTTGGCGGCATAAATTGAGACCTGGTTATTGGTCGTGATCTTTGAGAGGGAGTTTAAGTAGGCTGCGGATCTGCTTGTTGAGGCGCACACGGACTGCTTCTGATAGGGGCAGTAGGTGATTTCGATGCCAGGTCTTTAGTGGGCCCATGCTTCCTGCTGGGCGAATCTGATATACTTGCAGAAAATATAGGGCTGTGACTTCCAGTTATGGATTCCTCAGCAACACCCTGTCGCCAAACTGTAAGTCATGTACCCTCCCCTTTAGGTCAAAGTTTCTTTCGTTTTGCTGCCCCCAGATGCCTGAAGCAGCGTGAGCTTTCTCACATGCTGTTTTTAGGCTCTTCCTCAAACAGTCCACATATCCTCTGTGGGACATCGTCAACTTATGATATAGATATGTGTCAAATGCTTAGTCGACTAATAGTCGAGTTTCCCTCCCTAACATCAGCATGTATGGTGAATTGACAGTAGCATCATTTTCAGTGTTGTAGACGTGTGCGATAGCTGCAATGTGTCTGCTCCAATGCTGGTTTCTGTCAGCAGAAAGAGTCCCAAGTATATATAGGAGAGTGTGAATAAATTATTTTGGCTGAGGATCTCCTTGATGGAGGTATGGGGTTGTTCTTGACTTCTGTGTACCTAAAAGGTCTCACAGTATTTTAACGAGTCTACTCTCAAAGTGTCTTCCCTGGTCAGAGTGAAGGCATTGAGGTAGGCTGTAGTGGACAAAGCACTTTTCTACCAGAACTTTGGCCACCGTAGATGCTTGCTGCTCTTTGGTTGGGAATGCTTGGGCATACCAGGTGAAGTGATTACCATTAAGACCCTATCTGCTCTAGTCAGGCTCCAGACACAGAGGGGTTTATTTACTAAAGCTGGAGAGTCCAAAATCAGACTCCCTTCTGCATAGAAACCAATCGGCTTCTAACCTCAGCTTGTTCAATGAAGCTTTAGCAATGAAACCTGGAAGCTGATTGGTTTCTATGCAGAAGGGAGTCTGATTTTGGACTCTCCAGCTTTAGTAAATAAACCCCAGAAAGTCAATGCGCACCAACTCCATTGGTCTTTGACTTTGAAGATGGCCCATTGTGGTCTGACTGGATGAAGTCTTCCTCTGTATACATTGTATGCAAGTATGGCAGTATCCTTCAACTTCAGCATGCACATAAGTCCAATAGAAGCAATCTCTTACAAATTGGAACATTCTTTCAGGCCCTAAGTGACCATGATTTTCATGAAAGACTTCCAACACAGTCTGTCTATGCTATCTTGGCAGGAGTAGTTTCCACTTGTCTCCAGGATCATTTGAGAGACCCCTTCGGTAGACCACCACATTGAGTAACTGGGGTCACTCCCATTCTTTTGTAGCAGGCATTCTTCTTTTGGGGAGTCTGTCAGCAGCAGATGTGGACAATGACCTTCCAATGCATTTAATGTTAAACTACAAAGGGGTTCCTCCATCTGGTTAAGTCTTTCTTTGCAAACTTAAGCAGCAGGCCTCATTGCTTACTTGGGAAAGGTTGCAGTAGTATTTTGGATCTCCTAACACTGAGACTCTGATGGCTGCAGCCCCTTTTGTGCCTATGGCTCAATACTCTGCTCCTTGACATACAGTGCCTTGAAAAAGTATTCATACCCCTTGAAATTTTCCATATTTTGTCATGTTACAACCAAAAACATAAATGTATTTTATTGGGATTTGATGTGATAAGGTAGCGAGGCTCCCAATTTCCAAGCACAACTCCTGTTGGTGCCAGCCCAGGTCATGTGCTGCATAGATGAGAACAAATGAAGTCTGATCGGCTGCACTCCAAACAATCCACTTTATTGAACCAGGACAAAACTAATACAGACAGTGGAAATACAGTGGGGGACTGTCAGGTAAAGACATTGCATGCTAAAGACAGCGCTTATAGGGTATTGAATAAGTGCTGTCTTTAGCATGAAATGCGTTTACCTGCCAGTCCCTCACTGTATTTCCACTGTCTGTGTTGGTTTTATCCTGGTTCAACAAAGTGGTTTGTTTTTTGTTTGTTTTATTATTATTATATTTTTATTAGTTACATCTTACAAAACCCAACAATACTTTAGTACTTAATCAACTACACTTTATTACACATTTTCCAAAAAAAAAAAAAAACACACAAAAAAAAAAACAACACAAATTCCCTCCCATCCCTCCCCCCATCCTTAACCTCCATTTATTTTTTTTATAAATCCTTCTTATTCCTCTAGTATTCCATCTTCACACCTTCATTTCCTCCTCTAACTTTATTATTTTTTCCTCTCATCGCTATAACTCTCCCTCTTATCATTTTCTACATTCTTGTACTCCATCAGCTCTGCAAACCTCTGTATAGTTTTAAAATCACACCATCTTTCCCAGATTTTTATGAATTTACCCATTTTATTTTCTCCACTATAGTAAAGTTTTTCTTTTTTATATATACATTCTACTCTTTTTATCCAATCTTTTAATTTAGGGGTTTTTTGGGCCTTCCAAAATTTTAGGGATCAGCCCTTTTGCTGCATTAATTAGATGGTGTCATCGTATTCTTTTACTGTTTAACTGTTAGATCAGTGTTATGGAATAGGCACACCCATGGATCTCTCACTATACCCTCTCCTATAATTTCCACTATTTTTTGCACTACTTCCTGCCAAAATTAATTTAGGATATTCCTACTATTCATGTACCATTGTACCCTCCTTCCCACATCCCCTCCAGCATAGCAATGAGTTCTCTGAGTGTAACTTATGGGCTTTACTGGGTGTAACATACCATATTGCTATAAATTTATAATTCATCTCCACTGTGCTCATATCGACTACCTCATGTATAATTCTAAATATTTTGTATAATAATATTTTCTCTTTCTCTGCTGCTCACTCAAGTGTTTTCAACTCTTTTTTTTTCCCCATTTGCCCATATACAGTGACACAACCGGTTTGGCAATTTATAGAAAGTGTCTTATAAATACACAACGTGCAATGTTTTTGTGTTCCCTTTAAATGTAATAATTGCTCCAAAGAATACAAATTTTCAGCCCCTCTTAATGGCTGTTGACGTGATATAAAAAAATGTCTTATTTGGTTATACCGCCATTCATCTATCACCTGAAACGTATCTTTTTTGTTTCAACTCCTGTAAAGTTTGGGCTAATTTGAGTGGGGTCCATTTTCTCACTGGATTGGAGCTTATGGAAGCATTTTGGGATGCTGCTTTCCCTTTTTCCATATACCAGTGGGGGTAACTTCTTTATTTTCTGGTTTGGAGTGGCAACACAAGCTAACTCTGCAGGTCATAGGACAAAGGCCACTTTCCTAAACTCTCCTTGTTACTCTGCTTTGCTTGCTACAAAACCAAAGACTCATGGAGTGGGGTAGGATTATAGGGGAGGCGTGTCCTTAAAAGCTTGCCAATGTCCACTCGCCTGATAGTGTTAACCTATAACCCATGATATATGAATATATTGTCAGTGTACTTTTACTGTATTCCAAGGTATGGAATTTACAGGTAAGTCAAAATTCCTCTGTACTTTAATTAAGCCAAAATTCACCTACAGGAAAGCACCTAGTGTTAAAAACAAGATCACACCTAGCCAAATCTCCACCAACACCACCTCGAGACAGCTCACCATCATCCCTATCATAGGGATGTTCCGCTGCAACAAAACCCTATGCAGCACCTGTGCCCATGTTTCCCACGGCAAAAAACTTTCTTTGCCAATGGTAAAACCTATTCCATCACAGCCTTCTATAACTGTTCCTCCACTTGCGTGGTATACTACCGTTCGTGCCCCTGTGGCCTTCTTAACGCAGGCCGAGCGATTAGAACCTTTAGAAAAAGATTTGTGAACACCACCGTCTCGTACAAGATGGCAATCCCAAGCACAGCGTCCAGCGACACTCCTCCGAATTTCACCATAAGTCCATTCAAGATCTTCAAGTCTGGATCATTGACTCCATACCCGACACCACCTCCACAGCTGAACGTTTCCAACGCCTATGCCAACAGGAAACCTTTTGTATCTATACTCTCAATACACTAGCCCCCAGTGGGTTAAAGAAGAAGTAGAAGTCCACACTGTCTTATGAACACCACTTCATTAGTCAGTACCCCTCACCAGACGCCATCTATCTTGACACAGAAGCCCTTTCAGGTTTTCCAATTATTCCCTTACCTACATCTATAATGCATGATCACCCTGATGCAACACGCATAAGTGCATCAGGTAGGCATCCTGACCCCCCCCCCCCCCCCCCCAAAAAAAAAAAATATATATATATATATTCAGAT